TTGGTACAAGTCAATTGGTACAAGTCAATTGGTACAAGTCAATTGGTACAAGTCAATTGGTACAAGTCAATTGGTACAAGTCAATTGGTACAAGTCAATTGGTACAAGTCAATTGGAAGTCGTAGACGTCAGTGAGACAGTTGGAAAACACTTCGAAGCAAGATTGTGTCTATCGACCTACATTCCTTCCTCTTCACGTAGGATTAAAAAATATATGAGCATGGCTGAATACTCAAAATACACACAGCTAAAACCTAAGCCAGACAACATTTCCCGCGAATTCAATTTTTTCCCAAACGTATTCTCCTTTTGTTTTAATACCTCGTCTACTTTGTCGAATTTTGCCGAATCAAACCTAAAAGTTTTCATAGTGCACAAACCCTTTGGCTCCATTCGGGCATCTTCGTCAACTGCCACCATGACGAGGCTTTCTCGTCCCAGTCCTAGAATGGTAACTGCTTTGGTCAGCGATATGTGCGATGTACTTGGTACAATCACACAAGGACTCTGTGTCAGCATGTGGCGGCGAGCAAACTCTTGCGCACCAACAGATTCATAAAGATACTGGCCCATGATCCCCATGAACTCTTGATGTTGGAGACCAGTTAAGTCTTCCACATCCTTTGGCATTCACAGAATGGTGTCTACGTCAAGATTGAGAAGTTCCCATTGGGATGCACTTTGAACTTCTCCTTTTTCTCCTTCTCTTTGAGGAAAGGTGACCTAATCAGGAATAAAGCAGAAAAGACGTAGCAGGAAAATGTTTCCTTTTTTGTGCTTGGACATGTCAGCCATTTAAAAGTTACGCAAATGTAATCAGTAGATCTAAGAAGGAATCTCATGGTCCCTGGAAAATCTATTTTGTCTATGCAAATGAAAATTATGGTTTGAACGAGTCCCCCATACACAAGTTATATGGCAGTGGTGATGCAAGTACTGCTTATTCACCTTGTAGCCTCTGGCAGCAGCAAGTTTTTCTTCCTTCAGCAAAGCCTCCTGCAATCCTAATGGAAAGTATTTGACATTTCTTCCCGCCCAAATTGCTTCAATGTTGGCAACAGACCCACCAGCAGTCAGGTGACCCATGGCTTTATCGCCATCATATCCCATCATAATACACAAATCCTTTCCAACTTCCACCTCGAACTTTGTAGTGACGGTCGATGCCTCCGCAGCGCAGTTGTTCTGGTTAAACAACATGGCAGACATATAGCCGAGGTTGGCTGGCATGGCTGTCTCCCAAAGAACATGTCCCTGGAGACAAATGGAAGATTTACACCTGTTTAATATCATTTTTGTTCGTAAAAAAACATAAACTGCAGAAAACTTGAAAAAAAAAAAAAAAAGGTAAAAGAAAACTTGTTCACTTGGTTCATCGTAGCCATAGAGTGGGATCGAAAATCTGACATGATGGCAAAATCTAACCATACCTATTTTTCGGGAAAGATGTTTCTGAGATAGAGTTTTGCTGATAACAAATGGAATTTTTAGAACATGCCATGACCAGGAGTCCATGACCACTTTGTTGTTTAAATGTACATATCGTTCCTATCTTTCCAACTCAAGAGGAGGTGGCATGTACCTATGAAAGCCATTAGAATGGTACAGAGCTGATAAGTCGAGAAACTGATAAGCTGGTGTTTTTGAGAACGTTAATAAAAGTTAACAAAACCCTAACTGAAAGACTCACAAACCTAAATAAGACGAGCTTTAATATTACAGTGGTGGAAAGTTACCTTGTATCTCGAGCTAAAGAAAGGCACAGATTTCTCCAGGTCTGTTTGCAAGTTGTCCATTTCTGTCTTCAAATGTTCCATAGAATTCTTAAAGGATGTAGTCTCTCGAAGCTCATCCGTAACGTACGGCGGATCACAGGGGAAATAGCTGAAGCATTAAACACAAACCCGGTCGTTTATGTACTTGCGACCAAATTTGAACAGTTGAGCAAATGAATAAAGTCAAATAAGAACTGTCCGCCTCTTGAACAAGTACCGTCAAAGGAATCGACCAGACTCTGGTTATGGTTCGATTGAATTTTCCAGCTGACTTGGATGGAACATCTCAATGGACACCACTTATCACAGTGGGTGAGGAAGGATTTTGGTTGTGCTACAATAAAATTAACCTGATCTCCCTCTTACGCTCTGCAGTATTCTAAGGATCCCTCTTCATACAGGCAGTCAACTTTCAATAGCCCCACTTTAACTAATCGCCTAAAATCTTCCGACCTCCCCTCCCTAACAGGTGATTTATAAACACTGGTCCCTAAGGTAACCAAACAAGGCACGCACATGGATTTTTTTCATGTTATCACCAAAACTGTTTGCCGGGCGTATCCCCTGCGGATGGCCAAAAATCAATTGGAAGGGATGATTGACGAGGGAAATTGCTTAGCCGTTCCTCGGTTAAAACAACTTTTTCTTCGATGTTTATGATCACCCGATCTTTATTTAATTTTTAATTCCTTTACGTCGCGGGGTCTTTGTCTCTTAACATTCTGAAAACACAAAGGCCAGAATCAGGCGTTCATTACAGAGTTAAAAATGGCTGTTAATAAGATAGAATAATGGATCGCTAGTTGCTCTTTCTTTTGAGGTACTTACTTGTGACGAAATGAGATATGATGGTCGACAGCTCCCGTCAAAAGGTCTCTAAACACATCTCCATTTTCTGCTTTGGGCCCCAAGAACCAAGCTCCTAAGGCTGCCCAGTGATCATGTTTGCCCTTTTTAGCACCTCCCGGGTACAAATCTTCTCGGCGCGGAGTGTACATGGGTGCCTTGGACAGTCGCGGTCTCTTTCCTCCAGAGCCGGCTGCTTGTTGGGCAGTTCTTTTTGGGTGCGGCCGAAACATGGTTTCAGTTCTTTCCTAGGAAAGCTTTGGATCAAGAAAGTGATGAATAAAGGTGGGATAATTATAAGTCAATTGTTTTAAATGGATAACCCCAATCGTGGAAGAAACATTGAGAAATATCTGAGCAACTGCGCATCCACACCTCCCCTAAAGTAACTCTAACCCAAAGTTGTCGTTGAATGACTTTTGTTTGGTAAGGGCACAGAAAGACCACATCAGACGAAGCAACCTTTATGCAAATATTCAAAATCTTTAGGGGTTGTTATGAATAAAGCTCCCTCAATTGCATTTCTAAATTACATCTCGGCCCAATTACCAAAATAAACTTAGAAGAAATAATAAAATTTTAGACGAACAAACTCTATGAGGACTATGAATAAAGCTCTGAAAAAAACTCTGTCAAGAAGCAAATGAAAATTTTGAGCGCTAACATTGGTGTCTAATTAAACCCGTCTTTCAGACCAAGAAGATTGGCCAAATTCTCGCTCTAAAAGAGAAGGAGTCCCCTATTGTCAAAAATCAATGCGTGGATTATAAATTCCGAATGTGATCTGTGCAACGCAAATTAGGTCTGCTATACCGCCCGACACTTACACCAGCGCATTAACGAACACAAATACTCTGGAATCGGGAGACATCTTGAGGAACACGGTTTATTGAAGACTGATTTGATTGATAAGCAATTTTCTGTTCTAAAGAAATGTACATCAAAGTTTGATCGTCTAATTTTTGAGATGTTATTCATTAGGGAACTGAACCCCAAGTTAAATAATCATAAAGACTCTATTCGCGCCAAACTCTTTACGTGACTCTGCGCGCGAATATACGACTCTGCGTGTGAACTCTGTGTTATTTACATATTTTTAATTTTGTTATCCGTGTCTCTTAGGGACTCTTTTACATTTATATTCCTTCTTATTTTACTCGTTATTGACTTGATAGTGACGTTAAGCCATAGTTAAGCGAACGTCGAGACGTTGTCGTATTCTTCTTAAACCAAGATGGTTTTTAATTACATATCTAAACCACATCTCGGTCTGAAAACCTTGGTCTCCCTTTCTACTCTTAACGGCCCCCGGCCAAAAGTACGCTTTACTACACGTGGTTGAAAAATTCCAATGCAACGACCTTGCTCTCTCAGTCACGCATACTTCTTGCGATAATGTTACTCTCTGTTAGTCTTACTTGAAGAGTAAATCGGTAAGGGCGTTAAGACGCAAGCAGGAGTTATCACCAGAGAGGGCATGGGTCTAATTATAGCCTCGGCCAAAAAACAAAGATTGACTCTTTTATGCATTCGTTTGAAATAAATAATTATCAGCCTGTCTCTTTGATTTGCTAAGCAAGAACAATGCCGTTTTAGTGCCCAAAATGGATGCATATATCGATTAGCTGATAATCACACCACTACCGAAAATCATATACGAGTTTGATACAATCTTTAGCGATGGCCGCTGATTTTCAAACAAGCATTTGAATGCAATATAAATTGCCCAAACATGGTGGGTGATTTCGATTCATGGTCGAAAGCGTTTAAAATTTGTAAATAAAAACTTGACCGGTGGGAATATTATAGTCGTTGAGTCGCGTCGGTTCAACTGAGCCGTAATCCTTTCAAAAATTATATATATATCGCATCTGCACGCACTGAAAATTAACCACAGAATAAACAACTTCGCAAAGATACGTTATTTGAAGTGTTGAGTATCCTCCCGATATTGTACCTCGATGTTTCACGGCGACAGGGCGCTCTGAGAGTCCCTGAGGATAAGTTGCATTACAAAGTTTTAAAAGAATACGAATTCCAGATGCAAGGTATTCCAACTTAGAACCGTCAAATTTTTTAGCTTTTTGACCAGTTACTGGGCTCAGATAACTTCCTGCACACTTGAACACTTGTACAAACTAAGCCATGGAAAATATTTTGTGCACCGCTGAATGTAAATTTCTCAGAATTGACTTAAGCTTCAGTCAGCGCGTCCAATGCTAATTTTTACTAAAATTTCACAAAGGCTTCATTTGCGTTATTTAGAATTCTATTCCAATTGGAATATTTTAAAGAACGTAAGAGTGCGTATTTCTTACCTGAGATATATCGGAGCCTTGCAAAGTTGTTCTGCACAAGCTTAAGATGGACGCAGATTCACCGAGCGGAGTATGTTATTGGCGTGGCTGACCTCTCCAGGGACTCGACCAATAAGATCACAACTGATTGTCTTTAATTCCTTTTCAAAAAGTATCAGATAAGCAGTCGAGGCCTACTTGTAAAGAAGCCGACAGATTCCTCTCACAAATATCTTTTGTTTCGGGCACGTTTTGGACCTAACCATGCTCAACCTTCAAAAGAGCCTTTCCGTTAATTTATTCAGCCTTATTGTGCGAACTAGAAAAAAAAAAGTTTTTACTCGAATCGGAAGCTCCCAGAGCAAATTGTAGCACAGTTGTTTTTGCCTACTTTCCACAATGTCACCTTTACTAATCACAAGAAGCGTCAGTTTGAACAGAATCTGTGTTCCCTGAGGATGCATAGCAAATCCTATTTACAATAGCTACGGTGCTAAATTATATGCGGAGACCTTCAAATTGTTTTGAACACTGTCAGATGTTAATCATGCATGCACAAGAGTATGTCCTGTCGAAAGTTTAGCATAATGGACTTCTCTATTCTAAGCCCTCGTTCAATTTGTTCCATTATTTCTTTCCAAACTTCGGTCCCAAAACAGAAGAAACTTATACTTTGAGTTAAATCTCTGAAAGGGTCAATCGATACATTTTTTTTGCGCTTGTGTGGCAATCTCCTGAGACACATGTAGCCGGCATATAATATCCCGATATTCTTTAAAATTGACAGGTAATATCATTTGCAATATATTTGCACGTTTCGGAAAACTACTTGGAATAAAAGTTAAAATTACGTTCATGGAATCTTAAAAACACGTTTGATACAACCCCTTAGAGATTTCTAATTGAGTTTTATCCTGTATAACCATTTAAGCTTAAAAATATTTTGCAATTGCCTCGAAATCTGAAACAGGCGTGAGAAAAATTACAAGCTATTAATAAGTGTGCTAGCTGACGAGCTGGAAGAAGCATGCATCATGTGGTGCCCTTGGTGTGCAATGTTGGTTAATCTGCAAAATAGCTTTGAAGCGATCTGCCATCTTTCAGTATTCCAAGATAATTTGTGTTTGATCTAAGCGCGAACAAATTTGATAAATACTGGATAGGCGAATAAGAAATTTCATAGTCATAATGCATAAAAGCAGACTGGATAAATGACCTTTTCAACTTAAAAAAAACAAAACAAAAAAAAAACAAACAAACAATCCATAGAGAGGTAATGTTGATCAAGAGTGGCGAAAAGTTTCTTTGGCCTATTGTCTCAGAGGTGTTTAAGAGACCAGCGTTAAGCCAAGCGATCGCTACACTGGGTAAAGTCGTCGAGCGAACCGAACTAGGAGAAAGCTTTAGGTAGGTTTTAATCGATATTCCTAACTATAAAATTTAGGAATCGTTCTTCCTTATTATTTAATTAAAAAGCGTGCTGATTTAATTTGATGCAGGGCTTGCATGCCAGAATTACCGTGACGGTACGTGCAGCTGCAAGCGTTCTGCATACTGAAGTAAAAATCTCAAAGCAAACAATTCCAAAACACGGTAGAGAAAGGGTTACGAATTGAACGTTGTGCAGCAGTTGATAACACGTTGTTGCCTTGAAAGCTGCCGTCTTTTTTTATGTCCAATTCCCTCAGTGATTTAAGTAGGTGGGCTTGATCGCGCCTTTGTTCATTACAAAAGCTAGTTGTGTTGTTAATTTATTCAGTTCGGTCAACAATCAAGTAAGATTGGTCTAGCGACTTCGAAAGCACCAAGGTAGTTATATTTATGTTCAATCTACCTATTTTATCACGCAATTTTTAACATTATTCCCGTAGTTTTAATACCATCACCTTAAACATTGCAAAATTCAGACTTACCTTTGCTGAAAGCAACATCGATTTTTTTATTTAATTTGCTGCGTTTTTATTTCCCTTGTTCTCTCTGTTTGTTTGTAATTAATGTGCATTTTTTTTTTAGGTCTCACGGTGTTCATTCGTGATTTACTAGAAGACATTGGAGCAGTGCGCAGTTGCACCCAAACAAGCAATGTTTAACCCCAGAAAGAAAACGTCGCGTAACGGAGGAAAAGAAAAAAAGAAGGGTAAGGGAAAACCGCCCATGTTCACCCATAGACGTGGCATTTTCTCCAAACGCGACGTTAGCGATGATGTAACAAAGCCATGGGCTGCTGTTGGAACTTGGTTTCTTGGCCCAAAAGCAGAGAATGCCGACGTGTTCATTGATCTAATGTTTGACTCCATTAGAGCCCATATGGACTTTCGCCGAGGGTAAGTAAAAATTTTATTAAAAAATTGTCTATTAGTTATGTCTTCTGTCTTTGGTAGACTTCCTTTTTCAGTTGTTATTACAAGTTTGTTGATACGCTTACTCTTTTTATTACACGCAACTCGGAAGAAACCAGGGAAGAAAGTTCGGGTCATCCTCGGTGTAAAAACCTGACGCATGACGAGGTTTTCTTTGTTTCATGAGGTATTGCTTTGCTGTACGCTATTGTTTATAGTGTTTTGTTGTCTTTGTTTTACGTC